CTTCTTTTTTTTTTAAACTGGCTCAACACTCGGCTTCATCCGTTTCTCCTCATGAGGCCGACCGTTCTCCTGGGACTGAGGAGTCTAGAGTGGACGGAGACGAGTTGTCTCCTTCATGGAGTGGGTCCATTTCTAGTGCGTACCAACTCACCTCCACCTATTCTTCTCTATCCCTGCAGTTGAACATGGCGAGAACCATGCAAACGCATGATCGTCACGTGGCTAGAAATCCGGACGGCAGTCTGGTAAATCCCAGGGTCCCCTATGACCCAAATAATACTGACATTGAGACTGGGTCCACTACCTGGACAACCGCCTCCATGGGAACTCATTGTTCGGCCGTGGAGGTTACTTCTTCCTTTGAGGAGCGCCAAAGAACTCAAGGCGTTCCTACCACGATGGGAATGTCCGGGCGAACTCCTGGATTAATGTTCCCCCAACATGCTAACTCGGTCATGGATGAGGCCGAGTTGCTACTTCGTGAAGGACCTCCTTCCTCTTCCCAGGCGGACGTTGATCCGTCCGTCCCAACCCCTTTTAAGCTCTATCACCGATATGGCAGGTCGCACAGGCCAAGGACTGGGATCTTAATTAATGAACCGTCCGACCTGCCTCCTCGCAGTGCCCCTCCTACAGGAAGCCAGGCGGCCACTTCCAAAGACAAGGGCAAAGGCCCATTAATTCTTGAAGACGTTCCCTCATCCAGGGGCGGCCGTAGTTCTAGGGGCCACATCTCCGCAGAGGCAGCTGATCTGGATAGAGTGCTGTCTTCTGAGTTTGGGAATGCTCCTCAACAAGAGGAAGAGGAAGAGGTCGAGAAAGCGTCCGAGGGAGAGGCGACGGCCGAGGAGGACGTCACCAATATTGACAACTTTAAAGATCCGTACGCCTGTACGGTGGGTAGCACGACCTTGAGCTACCTAAATGACAAGTTTGAAACATATAAAGCATTCCTCCACCTTGGGGAGGGATTTGAGATCCAACCTCCAAGGAAGTCACATGTTGTAGCTGCTTGGGAGGAAGAGAATCCGCGTCAAAGGGCCTTCATCGTTTATAGAGCGGCCTTGGATGTTGGACTGCGCTTCCCTCTCCACCCCATCGTCCGCACCATTTTGGACGAGTATGACATTGCTCTCTTCCAGCTGATGTCGAACGACTGGTTGAACATATTTGGGTATTTAGTGACGTGCATCTGCAAAGGCTTCAAGTCAGACTTTGCAGTCTTATGTGAGATGCACTCATTAACCAAGCTGGACGCAGACACGGACGGCTGGCTCATTCTGAGTTCCAACAGAGACTACATGGTGGTAGTTGACCGTGTCTCCAAATGGCGTGATTGGAAGCACCGATTCTACCGCATTAAAACCAAGGACGTTGAATTCAATTTGCGGATGAATCAGTTTAACACTGAGCCGATTCAGCTTGGACGCGGGGATCTCAAGCCTGATAAGCCACCCGTCCACCCCGGCGAAGATTAGCGGCTTGAATACTTCAAGGTTAAGAGGGTGAAGAGGGACGGCAAAACTGAGCACGTTCCGAGTAACTGGGTCCCTTTATCAAGTTGGCTTCGCGGACCCTACGTTTATGTCGACCTACGCCCTGTACAAAAACTTTCCTCAAGGTGGACGCTTGGACACATATAGTTTTTTGCACGTACATTGGTTATTTGAAACTGAAAATTTTCTAACACTTTCTTCTTTTTTCTTTTATAGTTGAGGCGTTCAAGATGTTGGACTCATAACAGAAGAGGGAGGTCAACATGTCTGAAATTGACCTAGCCCGCTACAAGGCTCGTCAAAAGTTGTACGAGCAATCTAAGGGGGTAGGAACGTCTTTCCTCCTCCATTTCTTCCTTGCGCCCGTGTTGGCATGATGGAAAGGATCTCCTTCCTAGCTTAACACGGACACTCATGCATTACTCTACTCATTTTTCGCTAACTTTTGCCTCTTTTCAGCTGTCTACTCCAACCCCAAGGTCCAAACGAAAGCAGTCGTCCCCTGCTTCTAAGACGGACAAGGACGGGAAGGCGTCCAAGCAAAGGAAGACGGTCGCCTCTAAGACCACTTCCACCATTGCGGCAAAGACTATGTCGCGGAATGTTTTCAAGCAGTCTAAAAGAGAACAACCCTGGCTGGGTAATAGCGGGGCCTCCAAGTCCATGAATTTGGCCGCCACGCTGGTTCCTGATAAGTCCGAGAAATCAGACAGTAGGGGTAAGTCGACCCTGGAAAAACTAACCGGGCCAGAAGTGACTCCGCCCGTACAAAGAGTCTAAGAATCTGATTAGCTTGAGGCCTTTCAGTCGGCCGGTGACCAGCCTGGCCGCACGGGTGAGGAGGGTGACAAGCCTGCGCCGCCTCCGTCATTCACCTTTAATCCCCCTAATGCTCCGAGCTTCTCTGACGGTCATTTTGAGTAACTTTGCATATTTTATTTATATTTATTTTTATTTTTTATTATAAGCCCGATTGAGCTTAAACTAAACTCTTTGCGCCCGCGTGAAGTTATTGCAGAGGAGCTACATATGAAGCTGCTCGGCCAGTCCCTTACTGGCGCGGACAGGAAGGCCGTGAGGGAGGCCATGGCCATGGCTGTCCCCGCTGAGCAGCGAGACAAGCTGCGGGGGATTCATGAGGGCTTCCTTGGCCCAATGATCAATTGCAGTGCTGAGGTAATATTTCTTTCAACCTTCACACTTAGTTAATTTTTCACTCTCATTTTGCTAACATGTTTTTCCTGTACGCAGCTTTTCCTTCGATTGAATGCCTTCCCTAAATGCAAGGACAAGGAGAATGAAAAGCTGAAGCATGCCTAGGATCATATTCAGAATACCCAGGATGCCATTACCAGGGAAACGGCCGTCCAGCGCCGATAGTTTGAAACCCAAATCAACGCAGCGCGACAAGCTGAAGATTTGGTGAAGCTTGGCCAGGCCCTAGAGTAAGAGTCCATGGCTAGGGACACCATGAGACAAGAGAGGGATCAAGCCCTCCTAGATAGACAGCGTTGGAAAGAAGGGTTCGAGGCCTATGAAAAGCTTAAGAGTGAGGTGGCCTTAGCCCAAAAACACCTGAAGGAGGCCTTAGACGAGGTGGACGCTCTTAAGGCCGAAGTGGAAACTTTAAAGAAGCCCGTTGAGGACTTAACTCCACAGCTGAAAACACCATGGGCCCTTAGTGCAGACGAGGTCGCCCGCATTGAACAGAATGCTGAGGATAGGCTGAAAAGCCAGTTCTTCGAGGCGTTCAAGCTCATGGTGGCCAGGGCGAGGCGGCCTTTTATCAAGAGCGCTTCACCAAACGCCTCAACTTCTTCTGCCTCAGGGAAGAGGCTAAGAAGGACGGGCAGCCTTCTCCTGAGCTGGAGTCACACCAACTACCTCAGTGGATGAGGAAAATGAAGAAGTGGCGGCCGGCAATGATGGCGAGGAGGAGAGCAAGGAGACGCCTACTGAGGACGCTTTCCTTCTCGCCTCTCAAGAGCCCGTCCAAGGCCAGGATCCAGCTTCTTAAAGCCCCCAGCCGCCCCATGATATCAGCTCTTTGTTCTGCCTTTTTTAACCAATTTTTATTTTCTTTATTTGCCGCCTTTTTGACCGGTTTTTGTAAGATATTTAGCCTCCCTTTGAGCTGTTTTAATTAATTCAAGCTCTTATTTTCATTCATTTCATACTTAGCAAATTTTACATACTTTTACCATGTTTTTGCATTTTCGTAGGCGTACTTGATGCACGTTTTTGCGTTTTTCGTACAATGGGGGGTATGCCCCTTTATTCGGCATTCGCCTAGTCCATATTTTGAATGGTTTGATTGACTTGGTAGAGTTTATACCTTAAGGGTTATGACTACTAGCAAGTTAATCAAATCATAGTAATGATTGCCCTTGGACTAGGTGATACGCCGAATCAACATATTATTCGGCCGTTTGATTAGCTTTATGCGAGTTTTCCGTTGAAACTATCGCTCGGACATGCTCAAAAAATTTCAAGTATTATCTCAACTTAAAATTTCTAAGTTTGGCTGAGCTAGAATGCCTAGGTATGCCCTTGCCCCATTAGAGGGGTTACATAGGATACCTTACCTTTTCCGCCCGTCTAAATGAGGAACGGATGTGTACATGTGACTTATGGTCAAGTCACTCTTTTTTTTTTACGACCGGGTTGCTGTGTTGCAAGCAACCTAGTTACAAGTTTCATGCAGCGTTTGTGCTTAGACTATGAAAGTGCAAATAAACATAAGTAAAATGGAAAAAAATATATAACAATGTTTGACTTTTCATTAATTTGTCAAAATTACATTGTTGTGGCCATACGGCTTTAGTTACATTGCTCGGTCAACAGACCTAGCTGTGTATACAGCTTTTTGGCTAAGTACTAAGAAAAGACTTAAACATAATATTTCTTCAGATTGTCAGTGTTCCATGTACGCGGAATCGGACGGTCGTTCATGGCTTCAAGGCGGTAGGTACCATCTCGAATTTATTCACTAATCCGATACGGCCCTTCCAAGTTTGGGGTCAGCTTTCTATCTTCATTTTCCCGACCCACAACCTCAATTTTCCTTAGGACCAGATCTCCCATTTTTAGCGGACGCTTTGACACTCTGTGATTGTATGCCCTTGTCAACCTTAGGCGATAAATTTCGTGCCTAAGCGCCGCATTGCCCCTAGCTTTTGGAAGGAAGTCTAGGGAAGTCTTCATGGCCTCCCAATTGGCCGCTTCATCATAAAAAATCACTCTAAGAGTGGGCTCATACATCTCAATTGGGAGAACAGCCTCAGCGCCGTATACCAAGAAGAATGGGGTTTCCCCTGTGGAGCTCTTGGCCGTTGTTCGTATGGACCACAATATATTGACCAACTCATCAGCCCATATACCGCCTACCTATTCATGCTTGCGCTTGATACCATTGGAGATCAACTTGTTGTATGCTTCTACCTGGCCATTGGCTTGTGGTCGGCCGACCAAAGCAAAGCAATGAGCTATGCCCTAGTCTTCCAATCATTCCTTGAGTTGAGGCGTTTCAAACTGACGTCCATTATCAAACACCATAGACTGAGGAACGCCAAAACGTGTAATGATACTCTTCCATATGAAGGCTGAAACATTCTTCCACTTGATGCCCCGAACAGCCTCAGCCTCTACCCATTTTGTGAAGTAGTCTACTGCTACAAACACAACACGCCTTTGACCGGATGCTGGCGTGTACGGTCCTAAGATATCCACCCCCCTTTTGGCAAAGGGGAGCGGACTACTTATGGCCGACAGACTGCTAGCAGGGCGATGAATCAAGGTTGCAAATCTTTGGCACTTGTCACATTTTTTCACCATTTTCATGGCGTCCGTCTTTAAGCTCGGCCTAGTACCCCAGAGGGCAGCCTTTTCAGCCAAGACTCGCCCTCCAATATGGGAGTCGCACTGCCCCTGGTGGAGGTCGTCCAAGACGTCATTCCCCATCTCTAGAGTAATATATTTCAGGTACGGCTTCACAAATGCCTTTTTAAACAACTCCCCCTGCTTCATTTGGAACCAGAGCACCTTCTTCTTCATAAGCCAGCTCTCTTTAGGATCGGACGGAAGTAATCCATCCCTAAAATAAGAAATGATCCCGTCCATCCAAGTGGAGCTTCTATCCATGATTTGTACTGGCTTGGCATCAATACTCCTTTCTTTTACCTCCCAAAATACTGATTTAGGAGTATCACATGATGCTGAGGATGCTAACTTAGAGAGGGTGTCCGCCTGATGATTGGACGAACAAGGAACTTGTTGTAGAGTAAAATGATCTAGGCCCTTGGCCTCCTCTTTGACAATCTTCAAATATTTCATCATAGCTGACTCCCTTGCCTCAAAATCTCCATTTACCTGGCCGACTATAAGTTGGGAGTCCGAGCTTACATCCACTTTTGTTGCTCCTGCCGCCTTACACATTCTAAGGCCAGCCAGGAGAGCTTCATACTCAGCCTCGTTATTAGAAGCTTTGAACTGAAATCTCAAAGCATATTCAAACTTATCCCCCTCGGGAAATTGACAAATGAATCCAGCACCACATCTAGTTGTCGTTGCACTACCATCAACAAACACCTTCCAGATCTGATCTCCGGCCGACTGAAGATCAGGCCGAGTCATCTCAGCTAAGAAATCAGCAAAGGCTTGTCCCTTGATTGCTTTTCTTGGCTCAAACATAATGTCAAAGCCTCTCATTTCCAAGGCCCACTTGAGCATACGGCCACAGGCCTCTAAAGTTGTAAATGGCTTCTTTAGAGGTTGGTCTGTGTAGACCACAATTAAATGTGCCAAGAAGTACGGCCGCAGCTTCTTTGATGTCATGTACAATGGTAAGCCAAATTTTTCAATAGGGGGGTACCTTAGCTCGGCGTTGTGAAGTAAATGGCTGATAAAATAGACTAGGATCTGGTGGTCGTCCCTTTCAGCAAGCATGACGACACTTAGAGAGTGTTACGAGATGGCGAGATAGATGAATAACTTCTCATTCTTGAATGGAATGACAAGCCGAGGCAACGTATGCAGATGGCTTTTTAGCTGAACGAGTGCTTCCTCGGCATCCTCTGTCCATTCAAACATGGCTTTCTTCTTGATAGTTTGAAAGAAATAACGGCACTTATCCCCTGACCTTGACAGAAATCTACCAAGTGCTGCTAAACAGCCGGTCAGCCTTTGTACTTCCTTTATCATCCTTGGTGACTTCATGTCCAGGACACCTTGAATCTTTTCAAGGTTGGCCTCAATTCCACGTTGATCAATTAAAATCCGAGAAATTTACCGGACTCAACACCAAAGACACATTTCTTTGGATTTAACATCATCTTATGCCGCCGAAGCTCGGTAAAAGTTTCTCGCAGATCCGTCAGGTGGTTGGCCGGCTCTTTTGACTTGACAATCATGTCATCAATGTATGCCTCTATATTCCGGCCAAGCTGATCTCTGAAGATTGTATTAACAAGTCATTGAAAGGTAGCAGGGGCATTCTTGAGGCCGAATGGCATAACTTTGTAACAGTACAACCCCTGCTTAGTTACGAACGCTGTTTTCTCTTGATCTTCTTCCCATAAGGGAATTTGATGGAATCTAAAGTATGCGTCCATAAAACTTATCAGGGCATGCCCGACCGTAGAATCAACAAGGCGGTCGATTTTGGGCAAGGGAAAACTATCCTTAAGGCATGCCTTGTTCAGATCGATGTAATCCACACACATTCTCCAAGTTCCATTCGGCTTTTTCACGAGAACTACATTGGTTACCCAGTCTGGGTAATAACATTGCCGAATGAAACCAGCGTCCAACAGCTTTTTTACCTTAGATGCGGCCGCCTGATTCCTCTCTTCTCCATGATTTCTCTTCTTCTCTGGGTTCACAGCCAACTTGTGCACGGCCGCGTCAAGACTTATTCCTAGCATCTCACCAACGTCGAATGCAAATACATCTTTGAATTCTCTCAACAGTTGAACTCACTCATCCCCAAGCATACCCAAAGATATAGTGCCCACACTAACCGTCCGATCTGGTTGATCAGGGTCAAGCACTATATCTTGGTGATTGCCAGCCGGCTAGGGCCTTAACGTTTCTATGCTTGCTCTATCTTGGCCGCCTTACGTTTTGGCCGACCTGGTATGCTAGGAGTGAGGTTCCTTCTTCTTTTGGCTCGGACGCTTTTGGTCCGCGTGTTGTAGGCTTAACGGCTAATTGATTACATTCCTTGGCCATTATCTGACTCCCTTGGATTGTCCCAATTTTTCCGTCCGTCCTCTCGAACTTTAGAAACATTAGATGAGGTATAATGACTGCTTTGGCTGCATTCAGTGTAAGATGGCCGAGTATGACATTATATCCAGTCAGTTCTTTTACAACCAGGAAGCGGACAACCATATCTCTTCCTTCCCCTTTTTACCCAAACCGAACGGGTAAGTCTATCCGCCCAATTGGGTGGATAACATTTCCCCCAAATCTTACCAACGGGTGAGTGATGTCCTGAAGAGCATCCTCTGGGAAGCTTAGATTCATCAAGGCGGCCAGGCTGATGATGTCAGCCGAGCTACCCGTATCAATAAATCTTCGTTCGACCTTCAAATTGGCTATCTTCATAATGAATACCATGGGATCATTGTGCAGGGCTTTGACCTCCCCCCGGTCAGCCTCGCTGATGATTACTTCGGGAAAGGGTTCGACCTTTACTGCATCCTCTTGCATCACCTTTCCCAAGTTCCAAGCGTCCTGCTTGATCCCTTTCATGGTTGGGCCGCTTGAGGAGAAACCTCTTGATATCACGGCCACAAAGCCTAAATTAGTGTTATTCCCATCATCTTCCTTGTCTTTGTTCTTATCATTTTTCTGTCTCTTCTCGGACTTGTTGTTTGTCCGTGTTTAAGTAAATTTGGATTTCATCACATAAGAGTGCAGCATGCCCTTCTCGGCTAGCTTGTCTAACAATCTCTTCAAATTGATGCAATCGTTTGTGTCATGTCCCACGTCCTTGTGGTAATGACAGTACTTGTTCTTGTTCCTGTACTGAGCCGGTCCTCTTAGTGGCTGTGGCTTTTCAAACTCAAACTTATCTTTGATTTCCATCAGGATGGAGTAACAGTCCTTGTTGAACTCATACTGGGGCTCGTACGTCTTGACCTTCTTGGACTTCTGCGGCTGGCCATCGGCCACCAGAACTTCTTTTCTCTTTTTTCCTTCTTTCTTTTGGCCAACCGAGTCTTGCTGAGAAGATTGTTTCTTCTCAGCCCCCTTGGCCGGCGCTTCTGATTTTGTGAGCGAACAAAAGTCCGCTGCCTCAATATAAGCTTCGGCTTCCGGAAAAACATTTGCGTATGTCCGAATCTTTTTCCTTACCAGGCCAAATTTAAAAACATTATGTCTTAATCCCCAGAGAAATTCAGAGTAAGCCATTTCATCCCGCGGATTATGAATTAGGGCTTTTTCTTGGTTAAATCGGTGGACGTATGACCGTAGGCCCTCATTCTTCCCTTAAACAATTGTTGCCAAATTAAGGCTGGTCTTTCGAGGCGGTATGTTGTATGAAATATTTCCCACAAATAGAAAACTAAGAGTAGTAAAGCAATTGATACATCCGGCCGGAAGGCTATTGAACCAATCCTGTGCCACACCCTTCAAATTGGCCGGAAATCATTTGCACCAGGTAGCATCATCTACACTTTGCAAGTACATCAGGTTTCTGTACGAGGTGATGTGTTCTTCTAGGTTGCACGTACCATCATAAGCTCCCAGAAGTACACTATTCACCTTCGGCGGCTGAGGGGCAGTTAAAATATCTTGCGAAAACGGAGGCGGCTTATCTCCTAGGGTCAGCAGGCGCATCTTCCAGTCAATTGACCGTGGCTTCACGGACGGTCCAGCCACGTAGGGAGCCTGACTGTACGTTTTTCCGTATAGCCCATATTGTTTGAAGACTTGGGGATTCGGCTGCATCAAGCCATTGAAATCCTAGAGAGGTTGATATTGAAGTGATTGAACTGGAATAGGAGTTGGAGTGCAGACATCTTAACTTCTGCTGGAGATGGTCGTGTTGGTATGCTGGGAGAGAGAATTATTTGAAAAATCATCCGGCATAGTTAGGGATGAGGTCGTGTCCGAGTAAGCGGCACGTTCCCGGTGCTTATGTCGAAGGTAATCCCTTGCGTCCTTCCATCGTCTAGACGGTTCAGGCTCTTCTCTTGAAGGCTGCCTACTCCTCCCCCAAGCCGAATGTGTTCTCGCCAACAGATCAAAGAAATTTGTCCGTGGTACCCTTGGGAACCTTCCATTCGGCCTACGAAATGGGGTGTTCCCAGCGTCCGTTGCATTAGCCGCTTTGCTTTGTGCTTTCTTTGGAGCCCTCTCCCCTCTCTCCTGGGCGGCTGCCTAGAGGTAGAGGCTCTGTTGTTCTCAAACTCCTTCCGAAGCTTGTTGAGTGCGGCCTTCAGAGAGGTCGCGGTAACAGGAGGGTCATCAGCCTCTTGAAATGTGGCAATCAGCGGATCGCTGGTATGGATTGTAGGGATTATATCCTCAACATGTTCGTCCTCGCCTAGATTAGGTGTCAGACCGTCTAATGCCATAACGGATGAGTATCCCCACAGACGGCGCCAAATGTTTTGGGTGTTTTTTGGATTTCCTCGGATATTGGTCACGCTCTTCTGGCAACGAGACAGAGACACCTTCAAAACAACGAATATTCACTTGTCGGAATATTCGCCTCCGACGATCAAGTTAGTGATCGGAAACGGAAAAGGCTACAGAGAGAAAGTAGAGAGAAGTTGGAGCGATTAATGCTCTATTTCTTGTAATTTCTTAATCCACCCTTCCCATCATAAATGATTGGGGTATTTATAGGGGTGGAGCTTGTGTCCAATTTAGGGTTTGTACCCTAAAATTGCGTGACGTGATTGGCTGCGCAATCAGAGAACGCCACGTGTCGTTTTGGGGGCGCCGCTTTGCGGCTTTCCATGATATTTCTCGGGAGTTGGACCCTTATGTAATTAGGCCCCTTTTGTGTGCTGATTTCAGGGGTCATATATACCCTAGATGGATGGCATCTTCCTGTAGCGACACGTGTCACCCTCTCATTGGGCCACGTGTCGCTACAGGATTGGCATGTGCTCTTGAGCGCTTTTAAGCTAAATGCGTGGCATCTTCCCATAATGACACGTGTCGCCCTCTCACTGGGCCATTTGTCTCTACGGGACTGGTCCACGTGTACGGGGTATTTTTTCCCTCAACAGTATCCATTCCCTATAAATAGGGGATTAATACGAGGCTCAAACAGATAGAAATTAACCTTAAACGCTGGCAGAAATCTTGTGATCTTGTGTGCTACTAAAACCTCTTGTCCTAAATACTCACCCTCTTTAATATTTGTTATTACGGTGGAGATTCCCAAACAAGGAGTCCTTAAGTGTTCTAAACGAAGATCTAGCAAAGAGAAGTGGTAAATTCCCGAGCACTTAGTCAAATCACCTTTATTTTTATTGTTTAAAATAACTTTAATTAATTAGTGTTATTTGATCACTTTAAACGGATTTCTAATTAATGAATTCCACATAGTATCTTGCGTTAATTAAAGAATAGAATTGAATAATTAATTTTTGAGTGATAACTTAAGACAATGCGAATCTTGTTTATTTTGTTCTTCTCTCGAATTTGAATTAAATAAAGAACAACGACTTTGCAATGTAATTCCTATGTGATCAATTGCGTGTGAATAAAATCAACTAACTTAGTTTAGGTATCACGTTGCATATATTGTTTGGTAATGAAATTGTGAAAAAGGAAGAGCTAGTAGAGGCCGTAACTAGGGCTAGAATAGT